AGGATCGGAGAGTTCCCATATTGGTTCCACCAAACTTGGACAACTAGCCTCCAGCTCTGTCTTGCATTGGTGATTCTTTTCCGTGCAGTTGGCCTGGCTACAATTGCAGGCATTGGTGGTGATAGTTTTGACAGTGATTTGCAATGCTCCACTTGCCAAGTTACAACATAAGTTTCAGTCTAAGCTTATGGTGGCACAAGACGAAAGACTGAAGGCTAGTTCCGAGGCTCTTGTGAACATGAAGGTGTTGAAGTTATATGCATGGGAAACTCATTTCAAGAAAGCGATAGAGAGGTTAAGGAAGGAGGAGCACAAATGGTTATCTGCAGTGCAGTATAGAAAAGCATATAATACCTATCTCTTTTGGTCGTCCCCTGTTTTGGTGTCCGCTGCAACCTTTGGGGCATGTTATTTTCTCAAGGTTCCGTTGCATGCAAACAATGTTTTTACATTCGTAGCAACTTTACGCCTTGTTCAGGATCCCATTAGATTGATTCCTGAGGTTATTGGGGTTGTCATTCAAGCGAAGGTTGCATTTGAACGTGTTGTGAAATTCCTTGAGGCACCAGAACTGCAGACTTCAAATGTCCAGAAGAGGAACATGGAGAATGTATCCCACTCCATTGTCATTAAGTCGGCTGATTTTTCATGGGTGGAGAATATTTCGAAGCCCACTCTGAGAAATATAAACTTAGAGGTTAGTCCTGGTGAAAAGGTTGCTATATGTGGAGAAGTTGGCTCAGGCAAATCAAGCCTTTTAGCTGCAATTCTTGGGGAAATTCCAAATGTTCAAGGAAATGTAAGTTGCTGCTTTACTTTCCCTGGATAGCTAACAATTACGATTCAATATTGTGCAGAGACTCTCAACAGATATCACTTTTCACCTTATGCAAGTATCATCTTTAATTTCTCTTCTTGACTTTTAGATTCAAGTTTTTGGGAAGACTGCATATGTTTCTCAAACAGCATGGATTCAGACAGGGACAATCCAAGAAAATATTTTGTTTGGTTCTCTAATGGATACTGAAAGATACCGAGAAACACTGGAGAGGTGTTCACTCGTAAAGGACCTTGAGCTGCTTCCCTATGGCGACCTTACTGAAATAGGGGAGAGAGGGGTCAATCTGAGCGGTGGTCAGAAGCAGCGAATCCAACTTGCCCGTGCTCTCTATCAGAATGCTGATATATATCTCTTGGATGATCCATTCAGTGCTGTTGATGCACATACTGCTACAAACTTATTCAATGTAAGTACTCTATCCTAACACTGGCAGTGCCTTGTTGATTATCGTCTGGCTTTTAGTGCTAACTTGTACATTGGCAGGAATATGTTATGGAAGCACTTTCAGGGAAGACGGTTTTACTTGTGACCCATCAAGTTGATTTCCTGCCTGCATTTGATTCTGTTTTGGTTAGTCTACTTTTAACTCTAGGCTATTTGGATTTTTATTCATCGCTATTTTCATAGCAGAAGTGGTTTTTCCAAGAATAACTTCTAATTAACTTTTTTTACAGTTGATGTTAGATGGGGAAATCCTACAAGCAGCTCCTTATCACCATCTATTGGCCTCAAGCCAAGAATTTCAGGATCTTGTGAATGCACACAAAGAAACGGCTGGTTCTGAAAGGCTTGCAGATGCTACTGCGGCCCAAACTGGAATATCGTCCAGAGAGATTAAGAAGACATATGTAGAAAAGCAACTCAAACCAGAAAGAGGTGACCAATTGATTAAACGAGAAGAGAGAGAAACAGGAGAACTAGGTGTGAAGCCGTTCATACTGTATTTGAAGCAGAAGAATGGATTCTTGTACTTCTCAGTGGCGGTTCTTTTACACTTAATTTTCGTTATGAGTCAGATAGGGCAGAACTCTTGGATGGCTGCTAACGTTGACAATCCCAATGTTAGCACATTGCGATTGATTGTGGTTTACTTGTTGATTGGATTTTGCGCAACATTTGTTCTACTGTTCAGATCTATTTTAACAGTTATTTTGGGTCTTGAGGCATCTCAGTCTTTATTCTCACAGCTACTGAGTTCCCTTTTCCGTGCACCCATGTCTTTTTATGACTCAACACCTCTGGGAAGGATACTTAGTCGGGTATGCATTTCAAACAGAAAGTGTGCTTATAGATTAGTAGGCATTCAAGGAACTAACATCTTTTTGCGTTGCTTTTTTTTTTTTTTGGTAGGTTTCATCTGATCTGAGCATTGTAGATCTTGATATTCCGTTCAACCTAATCTTTGCGTGTGGGGCTACTATGAATGCTTATTCCAATCTAGGAGTACTGGCTGTTGTTACCTGGCAAGTCCTGTTTGTCTCCATACCGATGATCTATGTGGCAATTTCCCTACAGGTAATGCCGTACCAAGTTCTTTTATTCCTTATACTAGGAAGAATCTGTATTCGTTCAACTGGCTGCATGATTCTATCAAAGTGTTATGTGTTATGATGTTTCTCTCTATTAGAAATTGAGGAAAAATCGGAACTTGAAACTGAAATAGCAAAGTAATTTACTTCTTCCGAAATAACATCTGTGGATATGCCATTTCTTGTTTTCAGAAATACTACTTTTCGACTGGAAAAGAGTTGATGCGAATCAATGGCACAACTAAGTCCCTTGTAGCGAACCATGTAGCAGAGTCGGTGTCAGGAGCGATTACAATAAGAGCTTTCCATGAAGAAGAGCGGTTCTTGGAGAAGAACTTTGATCTCATTGACACAAATGCTAGTCCTTATTTCCACAGTTTTGCAGCGAATGAATGGTTGATCCTACGGCTAGAATTTATAAGCGCAACCGTTCTTTCTTCTGCAGCACTCTGTATGACTTTGCTTCCTCCTGGAACTTTCAGCGCTGGTAAGTTTTCCGAACTTTGATAAAAGGGAAAAGAATCCTGACATTCTCAGTGTTGCAATCTTCTGAGTAATTTTGACAGCTCTTATAAATGTAGTATGACTTCAAACTATCAAGACTTATAGCAATTACCGTGTCACTGCAGGATTCATCGGAATGGCACTTTCTTATGGTCTTTCATTGAACGTTTCCTTGATGTTTTCAATTCAGAACCAGTGCAGCATCGCAAATTACATTATTTCTGTTGAAAGACTAAATCAGTACACAAATATACCGAGTGAAGCCCCTGAAGTAGTAGAAGGAAACCGTCCTCCAACCAATTGGCCCACTGTAGGTAAAGTGGAGATACAAAATTTGCAGGTAAATATTGGTTGATTTAGTGCTAGAACTAGTCAAGGTTTACCTCGAAGAAGCTTACTGAGAATTTTCATATCATAACAGATCAGATATAGGCCCGATACACCACTCGTTCTTCGTGGGATCAGTTGCATTTTTGAAGGAGGACACAAGATTGGTATTGTTGGTCGTACAGGCAGTGGAAAGTCTACTCTCATAGGTGCTCTATTTCGTTTAGTAGAGCCAGCGGGAGGGAAGATTATAGTTGATGGCATTGACATCTCTACAATTGGATTGCATGATCTAAGGTCGCGTTTTGGAATAATACCTCAAGATCCTACCCTTTTCAACGGAACTGTGAGATACAACTTGGATCCCTTGTCTCAACATTCAGATGACGAAATATGGGAGGTATACTGTCGAGTTATATAATGCTTGTTTGCTGTAGTATTCCTTTTTGACTGTTTAATTCAGTATGGTTGAAATTTTGAACTAAGCAACTGACTGACTTATTTGTACGTACTGAAGGTTCTTGGGAAGTGTCAGCTTCGAGAGCCTGTTCAGGAGAAGGAAAGCGGCTTAGACTCCTTAGGTAAGATTTTCGGTGTATCAGTATGGTGGAGAGCGTTTTGTTTTGTGAAATTGTGATCAGCGGTATTAACTGGTGCTCTGTTACTCAGTTGTGGAAGATGGATCAAACTGGAGCATGGGACAAAGGCAATTGTTTTGTTTGGGGCGTGCCCTTTTGAGAAGAAGTCGGGTACTGGTGCTTGATGAAGCAACCTGCATCAATTGATAATGCCACTGATACGATTCTTCAGAAAACTATCCGAACTGAATTTGCAGACTGCACTGTGATCACAGGTAGCTCACAGGATACCGACTGTGATGGATTGTTCAATGGTTCTTGCCATCAGTGACGGTGAGTTTCACTCTCTCTCTCTCTCTCTCTCTTTCAAAATGCTTCTCGTGATCTCATCCAAGTATATAACATATACCAGTTTTTATTCGTTCATAATTGTTCGAAAAAGAGAGTAACATTGATGAAACACGTTTATCTATTTCAGGACAAATTGTGGAGTATGACGAGCCAATGAACTTGATGAGAAGAGAAGGCTCGCTATTTGGGCAGCTTGTCAAGGAATACTGGTCTCATCTCCAGTCTGCAGAATCGCACTGAAAGTAGCGGTGTTTCATTGTTTCATCTCGCCATTTTGCCACGGCTGGGTAGCAAAGAGATGAAACATAGTGAAAAGGAGGACTGGTGTAAACTATAGAACGTTGCTAGCCCGAAGAAGCGTGTGTATAATCTCTCTACTTATTTTCTCGAAGGCAATGAAGAATAATCGACTACTTAGTTGAGATCAATAGTAGCACATCAGGTTGCATAAGGTTGTAGGTATCCGTTCCCAGCCACGGCGATGAATGTAATCTAAAACGCTGATCGTGATTGATGAACTGTATTGTATATATCATGATGCAGAAACTGGAAATGGACATTTCTTGCGCGGCAAGTTGTTGTCAAACGCAAGAGAAGGGCAATACATTTTAAAATCAATAAAAGAGAAGTATATAGATCCAATTTGAAAATTGTTACAGCATTTTGCTGCAGTGCAATCGGCTCGTCTAAATTAACAAAAGTCGCACATTGTGTTTCTTTCATTCTTTATAACTTAGAAAAAAAAAAGAATTTTCCGGTTCCGCATCACATGACTGAGCGTTGGTTACAGAAATGCCGATCAGGCTAGTTACGTACTAATAACATCGTCTACATTTGCGTTCAAAGGAAAATAAAATCGAAGATCAATCGTAGAGAAGTATACATTCGATTTTATCATGAAAAGAAGTATACATTCGATCTGAAATTGTCTAAAGCATTTGCACCATTCAGCACCTCCCTAAAGTACTAGCTGTAACCTAAAAATAATGATTTTGATCACGAAGGCTCTTATGAGGACTAATTTAAGTTATAAATAACACAGCCTATTATTCGTCTCAAAAGTCCTAGTGTGGATAGGCTGATACTTTCTTACGAATCAAGAGTAACCTATTCACACAAGTCCGCCAACCACTGAAGTAATAGGTGCCTTCTGGGAGGTCGATAAATTCAGAAGAGCATACTACGTGCCTGCAGGAACAATCGTTTTGTTGTCCTCAAGGCCCTCCAAGCACCGCATTCTCGATGTCCTCTCTGCTCAGTGCATAACTAAATCGCCTCTCCATATCTTTTTCAAGGTTTCCCGGTCCAGTCTTTAGATACCTACATCACCAGTTCAATATTTAGCAGCGGTAATATTCGATATAACAAAAAGGTTCAGAAAAAAGAAACAATTCTACGTGATGATCGCCAAGAAAAAAGGGGAGAGACAGCCATGTGAAAAGGAAAAACTAGAGGTGATGCAGGGTAATACGAACGCTTTCAAGTAATCAGTCCGTTTTCACCTCCATCTTTCCCCACAACCTCAAGCTTCCCGCTTTCAACCATCACCGCCATTTCCTATCGTCTATAACTAGCTCATGTCATCAAGCGCACAATCTCATTCGTGAAACTTAGAATGTGATAAGGGGACTTAGACGCATACCCAATCGGGCCAATCCTACAGAAACCTTTAAACAAACTCTTATATCGTTCCTATTCTACCACAACGTCGACTCCTTTCCCAATTTTTCCGTGAATCCACACTATTGCCAGGAATCCCAGTCGCATCCACCATCATTACCTCCAATTCAACCGGCCAACTGCATCAAGTTAACACAGTAAACCACTCACTTACCGAAACTGGAAGCTATAAATGGACCAAAGGCATGAAAGACTCATAGAGGCCCTAGCGAAAATCCGCTTCTATCGGAGTATACCATCCACAAATTGTCCACTCTACTTTCACTACATTTGTCTACTCCTTCCTCTATAAAATCCAGTATCCAATTCAATCGCACAGGAACCCGACTCATATCGCAACAAAACAAAATGAAAATTTTAAAACCTAACACACAATCTAATTAAATTCATCATCTTTTCTCTATAAATTAACTCTAAACCCCTAACTAAGCCACCAAATCAATCCATCAGCCAAAAATTCAGCCAACATATACATATACCGATATACGTGTGTGTGTGCGTACAGCAGAAATGGCAGAAACCCAGAAGAGAGAACAGAAAACCAACCTCACATACAAATCGGTGATGTCGAGCGAGAGCTGGGCGTGCCACTCGGGCTTCTCCACCAGCCAAACCGCCCGGTCCTCTTTGCTCTGGTAAAACCCCAAGTTCCTCAGCCAGGCCTCGATGCAGGGGAGGCTGTGGGCGTACAGCGGCTTCTTCTTGTCCGGCAGCTTCTTCAGCCACTCGTCCTCCGGCGCCGACGGGAGCTCCTCGTCTTCCTCCGCCTCGGAAGGCTTTGAAAATACCGAGACCGAAATCTTTCTGGAAGAGTGAGTGAGGGGATACGCTGGGCATTTGGGTGAAAGTGAAGGGTAAGGAGTTGGATATTTTGGGAAAGTTGAGGAGGCGATGGAAGAGAAGACGATGAACTTGGTGAGAGAAATGGCCGACATGTTGGGACTCTGTTGTAATTTTGCAACTTTTGAGGGGTTGGATTTTAGAGAGAGAAAGTTTGCAGCTTTCGGGTTTGAAGAGAGAGAAAGTTTGGAACAGAGCTCATTATCTTCTCCATGTTTGGAGTTCGGGAGAGGATAGAGCACGGCGATAAAATGTTTTACCTTTTTTTTCTTTCAACTAAAAAAATAAAAATAATTGAGATGGGTCTATTGGCCCAAATCAGCCATGTGGGCTAGGGCGTAGGCCTTTATGGGCCTCTTTTAACCTTTTAATGATCCGTATATGTATTGAGTTTATCTTCGGTAGTCCAGTCTATTCAAGTAGTTCGATTGTATAAGCAATCATTAGGGGTGGGCACGGTGTGGTTCGGTGCGGTTCCACCCCTAAAATGGAACCTGAACCGAAATATATTAACGGTTCGGTTCGGTGCGGTTCCATTTAAATTTATTATTAGAACATTACGGTTCGGTCTACACCGGTTCCGATTCGGTTCTTGCTGATTTACGGTTCCTAATAATAAATTATTTGAACACCAAATCATTATGCATTCAAATACATCTTCTAAAACTGATTACATAAAGTTGCATACAACACATCTTTTTTAATGCAAATGTCTTTGGTAGTGGCACCAAATCAACAAAAAGAGACAACTAAAATACATATGCACTGGTCAATCAGTCAACAAACAAAAAAATGATGAAACAAATTGCAGGTTTTCAGACTTCAGAGAGCAAGCAGGAAGCAGCAGCTTTTGTACACAATTTTTCAACCTATTATACCATGACATGTGTGTGTATATATAATTTATTTATTTATTATTAATAAAATGGTTCGGTTCGGTTCGGCCGGTTCTTGGTCATTCGAAACCGGAACCGGAACCGGTTTGAACGGTTCGGTTCGGTTTTTCACTCAAAGTTGACTTTTCCGGTCAACACGGTTTTTTTCGGTTTTTTTTCTTACGGTTCGATGCGGTTTTGCAGTTTGGCGGTTTTTATGCCCACCCCTAGCAATCATCACGGTTTGATTCTTTAGAGTAATGTCTCGTTTGGATGTGCTTTTAAAATGATTGAAAACGCTTTTAGATAAAATGTTTTTGGGTTCCAAAAGCACCTTAAGTGTTTTTTCAGGATTTACTTGCATTTTTATTAAAAATTGGTTTCAAAAATATTTTCATCGAAAACTCTTTTAGTTATTTTAAAAACACATCAAAACGAGTCCTTAATCTTTATAGTTTAGTTTCCAAACTTCTTAGTAGTCCCAGCCTATTGAAGAAAAATTAGTACATAATGTGCTATTTAACATTCTGTCTAGGTTTTCTTCTCACCTAATGATCATTTGCACCATTGTGCATCTCCTAAAAACAACGGGTTCGTTTGAAAATGTTTTTAAAATGATTGAAATCGTTTTTAGAGAAAATATTGGTTCTAAACAAGCGATTTGCGATTCGGTGATGGATATGTTCTCGAATTGTGATTCGGTTGCTGTGAAGTTTAATTTGGTTGTTTTGTTTTCGCCCCTTTGGTTGTTCTATTATTGAAGTGCTTTTTTAAGATTCACTTGCATTTTTACTAAATATTGATTCTAAAAATATTTTTACAAAATACACTTTCAGTTATTTTAAAAGCAATTACAAACGAGCTCGACATCGTTTGCAAAAAACACTTTTCTTATAAGCATATTGAAAAGCATATCTATTCATAATACTTTTGGAAAACACTTTCATTCAAATCATGTTGAAATTTTCGTTAAAAACCATGTATCTTTTTCACGTGAAGAAGCACTTTAAATATTTTTACTTTTTCAACTGATGTCAAAAGCTCTTTCGTTCTCTAAAAGCGCTTTTAACAAATTGAGAAGCAGTCCAAACAGGTCCTTGATCAGATTAAAACATTTCCTTTACCGCCAAAATTTGGTTTCCCGCTCAAGCATCTACCGCATCGTCGTTTTTCTCCTAAAACGACTGCGCATTGGGTTTACTGTTCCTTAATTCCACATTTGCATCTCCCTTCTTCTCTGCAGCCAAAGTCCGTCTCTTTCTCCTCCTGCGATGGCATCTGATCGGAGCTCCGGCGACCCAATCGCTGACTACGGCAAAACGCAGCGCATCGTCCTCCTCCTAGACCTCAACCCACTCCTCCACCTCCAAAACCCAGCTCCATTTCTCACCGCCCTCCTCGCCGCCGTCAAAACCATCTTCTCCTTCCCTCCTCTCTCCGCCTCTCTCTTCGCCTTCAGACCCTTCTTCTCCTCCCTCTCTCCGCTGCTCTCCTCCTCCAAGCTCCCCACTTCTCTCTCCCTCTCTTTCCATCTCCCCGGCCCCACTTTCAATTCCCTCTCCCAAACCCTCAATTCCCTCCCCGCATTTCGCCGCGACCCGGCATCGCCGCCTCGGGCTTCGTGCTTCGCCGCCTCCTTGCGCCAGCTCGTGCACGACTACGCCTGGGACCCCGTGATCTGCGATCCAATGACGGGTACGTTCTCGAATAGTGATTCGGTTGCCGTGAGGTCTAATTTGGTAATTCTGTTTTCGCCCGTCTGCGTGTCTGCAAATTGTTTGACGGAATTCCTGAATGTGGGTGTGGTTGACGAGTCTTTGGAAAATGTGAATGCGTTTTCTGAGAGATTTCGGGGTTTCTTTGAGAATGTGAACGATGCATTTCTGAGTAGAGATATTCAGTGTAGCTGGGTTGATGTCAGGTATGACTTAGAATGTGGTGAGGGTAAGGTTGGGAACGATGAGGATAAGACGAGATTTGGGTTTTTCGAGAGTGGGGTTAGGAGTTTGGGATGGGGATTTTGCTCGACTGGTTCGATTATTCTTGGTTCTGCTCTTGTTCCTTTTGGTTTGATTTATCCCGAGATTGGGATTTCATCCAAGTTTTTTGGTTCTGATGATAGTCATAAGAAAGTCAATGTGCAGTTGAGTCTCGAGATCTTAGATGTAAGTGGGAAGCCTTTGGAATGCAAGTTTTGTGATCTTCAATTGGTTGATTTGAAGACGTTGCCTACAAATGCAGCTGATGATGCTTTCTTTTCCCTAGAAATCCTTAATTCACAAACAAAAGGTGGTAAACTGAAGGAATTGTTCTGGGGGAATTTTGGCAAAGGCGTGACAAAGTTCCAGGTTAAGGCTTTGCAAAAGTACAATGAGTTTTCGAATTTCAAGGGCCCCTTATCTGATCCTCTCCTTGTCTGTGATGTTTCGGAAAACCTGGTGAAGATGGAAAAGAAAGTTCTGGCAATTATTATGCAGATAAGGTTCTAGAAATGCTAGCAGCAGACTTGGGAGAGAATGCGAAGAGAAAATCAGCGCCCATTTGGCAGATTCTCTTGAGTTTCTTATATAGGAATGGTCACGGAGCATTAGTGTCCCTTTCAAGTGACAGTGGTGTATCGTCTACAGGAATTCTCAAACCTTTCACAGTTTCCTCGGCTCTGCTGTTTATTGTGGATGAAGGATTTCACCCTCAGACAAAAGTGCATGATATTGGCGGAGCAAAAGGAGACCAATTAAGTCCAAATATGAAGAATAAGATTTGCGATCCGAATGCTGATTTGGACCAAACTGGGCCATTTAATAAGCATTCTGCTGGCAAGGAGGGAAGGAAGCGGAACAACAAAGGAAATTCACCGTTGCTACAAGATCTCACATGGAGTGCCTTCTGCAAGGCAGCATTTAAACACTCAGAGATAGGTTTGGAAGAGGTTTACTTTGCCAGGGAATGCTATAACTCAAAAAAAATGCGATTTCTGAAATGCTGGATGAAACAGATTAAAAAGTCTAGCGATTGTGGCCTAATAGTGAAGAAAGAATCCCAGATAGACCAGCTCAATAAAAAAGAGATGGACAATAGGTTGGATAGCTTACACCAAGAAAGTGAGCAGCCAATTTCTTCATCTCCTTCCATTAGAGAAAATTCTTTGACTGTGGCTTCTGGTATACAAGATGAAGCTGCTTTGGAATTTAGATCAGAAACGTCGGAAGCTTTTTTCAGTAGTCTATCCAGCAAGATACAACAGGGACTTGAATATGAAGCAGTAGACTTGGGGACTTTGGCATATCGGCTTGTGAATTCATCCATATATTGGTTAAATAAAAAGCGGGAAACAGAAGCGCTTTCAGAGAATCAATCGTCCCTTGTAAAGTCTGGTGCTACTGATGATTTGGTTGCTGCTGAGGTGTTAAAACTTCTGCTCAGAGATCCCAAGGATATCACTGCAAAGCAGAAAAGCTCCGGCCCGTCTGTTAAAGCATCTGATTCAGAATCCGAAGGACTTGCTTCTGGAAAAATAGTTCGAGAGTATCCTTTTTCATTTATATCTTAACTGTCTTCTGTATTATGCATTTATATCTTAACTGTCTCCAATTACATTCACAGTTTTCCTTCACCTAGTACTAGATATGAATTGCAGATATTTTTCCGGATGGAGGTACTACAATCAGAGGTTGGTGCAAGTATTGCAGAATCTATGAAACAGAAGTTTGTAAAACAGATTTGCTCGTTTTTGGAGAAAATTCGATGTCATCTGGAGGGCTTCTTTGGTGACTGGAGTGTAGATGATTACGTTGAAAAGATCATAAAAAGCAGGTAATAAATCTGTACCAGAGTTGAAACCCCCTGCCTTTCATATTATTCTTTACTCATTCAGTCTATCGTTCATGTCTCATCAAATACACATTTCCGGTTCCACTGTGTTCCACTTTCCTGTGGGATATTACTACCCATCTAACAAATGCTCTCCTACTTACCTTTGCAGTAATGCTAAATACGGAAAATGATTTTCTTTATAATCTTAAATGGAGTTGAGTGTGTTTCCTTATTAGTGTAGATTTACAGGATATAGGCCAGTTATGCGCACATCGTACCCATGTTTTTCTGAACGAGTGAGAAATATGTTTATTCAACTTCTGCTATAGCATATTAGTCTACAGTATGATCCTTGAAACGGAGTTTAAATAGTTCATTCCTGCAATTAGTTTTCCTGAAGTAAATGTGCAGGCGATCAATTTTTGTTTGAGATGGAAAATTAAGCAGACGGATTAATCTTTGAATTTGGAAAATTTCAGGTACTGTAAGACACTTGAAGATGTGGTTCTCAAAATCTATACGAAAATGGATTTGTTGCTGTTTGCTGATGAGGAAGAACTCCCTAATAGTTTACTCAACAGTGAGGATAGCAATCGTTCCTGTAAAGAAAAACCAAAGAGAGACGAAGTGGATGAAAGTTGTAGATTCTGGGACTCATTATCAGCAGAAGGTGAGTCTCTTCGTCCGCTGAAAACTGATATTGGAAGACCAAGCGCTGAAGAGATCAAACAAGAGGATGACCATGCTCGCAAGCTTCTTGAAGCTCAAGAGAGGAGAGAGAGGGCTCGGAGATTTGCTTCATCCAAAAGAGGGATGCCCGATTTGCAGAGAGTTTGGGCCCCAAAACAGCGGAAACCATTGAAACCAAAGTCAAATCCGCTTCGAAAGCTGTTTAAAAGGAAGGATCATAGAGGTTCATGTGATGACAGAGTATGTGAAACCCCAATGACAGGAATCAAACGTTCATGCTCGCGGTGCAGCTGGGATGACGATGAAGATTACCGAGAATACAGTAGCCAGCCGTGCGGCTCTGTTTCAAAAGCATTGTTCCAGGATGATGACCAGTGAACTAGAACTACAACGAGACATGGAAAAAGCATATACATACCAAAAGCAGCAGAAAAAAACAATTTAAAGTGCAAGCTTCTGTTGTTTAACTCTAATTGTCTTATTAATTTTGTGTAAAACAGTTCCATTTTTTTTTTTTTGTGATTTGCAACATGAAATTGTTGGTATCACTGAGCTACTATTCCATTTGTTCAGTTCTATACATTTCCAAATTCGAACAAAAAAATTATGAATAAGAATGTGTGATTTTTTATTTTCCGGAATCGTCACATCCGTCTTGAATTTTTTCATACTTGAGAGACTTAAACTAGGTAATCTGATCATGTTTTTCGTAGGGCACATGCTATATCATTTTTAGATCACATCTCACCAAAACACGAGACTTCATGTATTTTAGTCTCATCCAACCTTGCATTGGTCTCTTTATGCTAGTTGCCCTTAAGTGGCAGTCCTATTGAAGTTTTTCCGAAAGATTTGACATTCTATTTGAATGCACTGGATATTAAACATGTGGGTCTAAATCAATGTTTAAAATATCGATATAGTTGGAAATATAAATATGCAAATTTATGAAAATATCAATGAATATATCGATATCGGTTATATTCGACGGAAATTTAAAATGGGGTAAGCATATCAAGTATCAACTCATTCAGATTTAATTGAAATTAAAGAAAAAATTAAAAAGTTCGAAATCTGCAATAGGTTTCAGCAAAATTTTGTAGTTAATCGGTAAATATTGCCGATATTCATTGATTTTTTTTATATCTCACTGATATATGATGAAGTTTGCATTTTACCCATCTTTCCTTATGGACCCTTGATTTTAAGGATATTCCGACGAAAAAATCGACAATGTCGTGGAAATTTTAAACACTGGTCTAAACTAAACTTACCTAAACCCATTTTCACATCATCACAATCCAATTCATGAGAGCCGTTACTTGCTAAACGTTGCCCCATAGACGAGTCATTAACTCATTTAAAAAGTGTTTTTAAATGATTGAAACCATTTTTAGAGAAAATATTTTTGAGCTCCAAAAGCATTTGAAGTGTTTCATCAAAGAAGAACTAGTTTCAGTGCTTTTGGAGGATTAACTTGCATTTTTACTGGGGATTGATTGTATAAACATTTTTTCTAAAATCATTTTCAGTCATTTGAAAACACTCCCTAAACGTGTTATAAATTTATCTGAAAATTTTTTCGGACTGCGAAATTAAAGCATCTGATTAGATCGAAATCCTTGGCCAATGGCAACCTCAGCTAAAATCCAAGATGTATATAGCAGCTAGCAATTTTGGTTATAAGCATATTCCATTTTGTTTCTATCCATATATAAGAACCCGTCCCAATAAATTCTACGATTTTCAGAACGGAGGAGTATTTTTGGTATTTTCAGTGAAAATGGGCTAGATACTTTGGGAAGTTGAATTTGGGCCTTAAATTGTGAGCCGGGTGGGGCCCTTATTTCTTTTTGGTTCCCCGGTTTCTCTCTCTCCTCTCTTTCTCTCATCTCTCCCTTCTCTCACAGTTCTCTCTCTCCCTCCCGTTTATACTCTTTTCGTTCCTCCGGCAAAACACACATACAACATTGATATCACCACCGCATCCTGTTTTCCCTGCGAGTTCCAAGAAGCTAGGATTGAGGGAGGATCACCTCAACCTCCCCGTGGCTATTGCCACTGTGCAAACATTCGCCCAGCGAGATTTCCTCGTCCCTCCGACGTAGGTAAGCCCTAGAATCCCTTGGTTGGTGTTTACATGTAAATGTGGGACGAAATTGAGTAGCTTTGATAACTGTAGGACACAGAAACACCTCGGGAGGGCCTCTGCAGTTGCTACTTTTGAGCTTTGGAATGATGTATTTTGATGAAGATTTGACCCCAAAACGGAGCCGGGGAAGTTCCCGGCCAAAAACCTCCATTTTCGGCCCTCTCCTTCGTTGGTCCGGTGACCCGTGGGTGAGAACCAGGTCCAACCCTAAACCCAGCCCAAAGCCAGCCTAAACCCGGACCCAGGTGAAACCCAATGACCTAACCCTTGGGCTATGTAATTGGCCCAAACCCAAAGCCTAATCTGCCGCCCATTAACCTAGAAACGCAAAACCCTAGGCCCAAACCCAAAATCCCTTCAGCCCTATCTGGGCCCAACCTAAAATCCAAGTCCGAAACCCTAAACCCTAACAGGCCAATCCAGATTTGGATCCAATGGAAAATTCGATTAGGGAATATTCTGGAAATATTCTTAAAATATTCTCTGAAATATTTATGAAATATTCTTTGAAATATTTTTTGGAATATTGTTGACTTTTTCGGAAAATCTATCACTTATTATGCTATTAGTTTTCATAAAACTTTGAGGGTTAGTATGTTGATAAATGTTTCAGTTTATATATATATATATATATATATATGTCAACTTGGTCCACTCATGTTATTTTTGCGCCCTCTCAGGACTTATAATTGAGGCGTATAATCCCGGCGTCAAGGCACTTACGCTTCGGCAACTTCGAGTCCTCTCGGTGTAGGACCTATTTCTTTGTTCATTCAATTTTATATTATTTCTTTTAGTGTTCTAGTTAGTTGTATGCTCTAAACACATTCCTCATTTGCATAATCATTGTATTTTAATTCATAACTTTTATTTATATTAATTGTTCTCATGCATCTTAATATGGCTTTGTCGCTTTCGGGTGTCGGCCAACATGTGTTCTCATAATACGTTCAATTGATGTTAAGACACTTTATGTATCATATCGTGTTTCCAACACACTGAAATTTTTTGACGATGATAAGGCTGTGTTGACTCCCCACGTATTGTTTCATGATTATCTCATCTATGGACTACATATGCATATAGCTATAACCTTTCATCAGACTTTTTGTCAAATTTGATGGCTTTGTTCACCTAATTAAGCAGTTAAGGTCACGCTTAATGGAATCCTTTAACAAGAGAGATCCTTATTTTTTTTTAAAAATGAGGACACCCTCCTGATCATTGGATTTGCTTTTAATAAAATTGTGTGGCTTGTGATTTAATCTCAAATACACAATTTAATTAAAGTCAATCCAACGGTCAAGAGAGTGTCCCCATTTTTTTTATTTTTAAATGAGGATCTCTCTTGTTAAAAGGCCTGCACGCTTAATAACTATCTAGTTTATAGTTTCGGTATCTCTCAATTAGCATGTTATAATTCTCTCTAGAAGTAATTCTTCTTTAAATATTATGTTGGAAGTGCCTTTAAAACAAGTAAAGGAGTTATAATGGATTTTTAGGTTGAAAAAACATTTAAAATGATTTTTGAAAAAAGCATACGCAAAACACGTGTTTTTTTTCCAAAAGCACTTGCATTCTTGTAAAAAATATAAGAAGCACTTACGTGTGTAAGTGGTTTTTGAAGAAAGCATTTCCAACCCGACCTAACTTAATCAACGTTTTATGTGAAACTTGGACTAAACAGGTACACGGGTGGTATACCATGTTTTATTATACAAATAGTGAGATATGTGTGTTAAAAAGTTAATAACTTAAAAAATAAAATTTCCCACCACTTCTATTAAAACACGTGGTGTATCACTTGTATTCCCGTCACAACTAAAAATTTCTCAGTAAACAGGCCCTAGCTAACTTGATTGACGCGGTTCCAAGCAGAAGGCTGGCACCCATTTCTAACCTGCAGAACACGTTTGTCATGCTTTTATTCCCCTAAACCTTAACTGACTAGTCCCCTGCACCTATAAATACATGTACCCTCCCAAGCACTTTGAGCAACCAAAAAAGCACATAAAAATGGCAAGCAAAACACAAACCCTAGCCCTAACTCTGTTCCTCTTGATCCTCATTTCTTCATGCAAGTCCACCCAAGCCGCTGGAATTGCGATCTATTGGGGCCAAAACGGCAACGAAGGAACCCTTGCAGAGGCATGCAACTCGGGCAACTACCAGTTTGTTAACATAGCTTTCCTCATTACTTTTGGAAACAACCAAGTCCCTGTCCTAAACCTCGCCGGCCACTGCGACCCCCCTAGTGGTACTTGCAAGGGGCTGAGTGCCGACATCAGAACCTGCCAATCACAAAATATAAAAGTCCTCCTCTCGATTGGAGGGGCCTCGGGAAGTTACACTCTCACTTCAGCTGATGATGCAAGGCAAGTTGCTGATTACATCTGGAACAACTTCTTAGGTGGTCAGTCAGCTTCGCGCCCGCTTGGGGACGCGGTTTTGGACGGCGTTGATTTCGACATTGAGCATGGTGGTGTGCAGTTCTATGATGAGCTCGCCAGGTCACTCAACGGACACAACGGACAGGCAAAAACGGTCTATTTAGCCGCAGCTCCACAATGTCCGATCCCGGATGCTCACCTAGACGGCGCTATCCAAACCGGTTTATTTGACTACGTTTGGGTTCAGTTCTACAACAACCCCCAATGCCAGTATGCAGACGGTAATGCCGACGCTCTTTTGAACAGTTGGAGCCAATGGGCCTCAGTTCCGGCCAGCGAGGTGTTCTTGGGGTTACCGGCAGCTCCTGGGGCCGCTCAGAGCGGCGGATTTATTCCTGCTGACGCTCTCAAGTCACAAGTCCTTCCAACAATTAAGAATTCGGCCAAGTATGGAGGAGTTATGCTTTGGAGCAGGTGGTATGACAACGGTACTTATAGTGCATCCATTAAGGACAGCATCTAATTAGCTTCTCTGCCTCAATGGATGATACTACTTATAATAAAGTGTGTTGGGGATGATGACGCATCATTCCTTACCTTTTGAATAAAACATGCATATGTATTCTTCGAAGAGATCTTTTACTTATTCAAAATTTGGGTAGTACAACACATTATTTAAGTGGAGCACACTTAAAAAAATAAAATTTTTCTTCACTTATATAATAACATATGGTGTACCATCCCGTATTTCTAATATACTAAAAAATTCTCGTATATTTTACAATAAAACATGTTATTGCATGTACTAATTTTTGAAATTGAATAAACTATGGTATATAAAGGGTGTTGTGATGTACTTATTATGCAATGAAGTTATAGGTCCAAATAAATGAGTGAGGATCCTCTCTCCAAATAAATTGTCGGGTATCATTGTCAATGGCTACATGATAGGCAGGCACTGTGTGTATGAAGGCTAACTAGCTCATATTGTAAAGGCTAGCTTTAT